CTTCCCGAGCGCGGAGGGCTGCGGGCGCCGCGCCGCCTACCTTGGCCACCCAGCTGAACAATGGTGACATCCTACGGCCTCCGGCGATCCCCGGCTCCGGCCGCTCCTCATGCGCCGGGAGAGGAGCGAGCCCGCCCGGCCTCCCAGAGTTTCCCCCACGGCCACGGCCGAGCCCCAGCCGGCGGGACTGCGAGCTCGCCGCGCCGGGGACGATGCCCGTGGCGGCGCCGACTGAGCCTCGGGGTGGGAAGGGAAAGGAAAGGAAGGGCCGGGGCCGCGGCCGCGTCCCGCCCCCGCCGCGCTCCGCCCCTGCCCGGACGCCCGTTCCCGCCGGGCGGGAAGGGAGCGGGCTCGGGAAGGGAGCGGGCTCACCCTCCGGCAGCGCGCCCGGGAACGCAGACACCCGCCCGCGGCCGCGCCGCGCTGCCCGTCCACGTAATTCGGCGCTGACGACAGGATTCGTAACTAAAACTTTCTGGGAACATCCTGGCATCGAAGTCATGCCTAACATTAGAGGATCGTGCAAAAAAAAATCATCTGAAACCTCTGTGAAATGTTACTCTTCCAGTCAGGCTCGCCATTCGTGTTAGCTAGTGGTATTTGACATCACACACTACCAGCTCTACTTCCAGAAATCAGACTGCCATAGAAGAGAATTAAAACACCTATATGGTAGACGCATGTTTCCGGCAGGTCAGGGATGTTCCTTGCCACCTAGCCAGGAAAGGTACTCATTCCCGTTGTTGGTCCGGCTGAGCTGCCTGTGAACACACTCCCCTACTCAGTGGGTGTGGGGCTGCCTGAAAACAACTAATTTTCCTGAGTTTGGAGGAAGGGCACAGAACTAGGAAAGAAAAAAAGGCTTGGATTTCACAGGAAATAATCCACTGGGCCCAAAACAAAAAGCCCTTTATTTTCCACCCCCTCACAGAAACAACATGAAGAACTAGATTTGCAAAATCGTAACAGAAGAGCATAGAGTCTGTTCTGCACTTCTTCGCAATAAAATTCAACTGCTCAAAGTTAGATGTTTAAGTGCCAAATTCAGCTCTTTTCTTTGCCCAAAGACAGTCATCAAGACAGCTACTCTGTTGGGAGAGTGCCTTGCATATACTTGCACACTTACAGCCAGTGGAATCATCTCTGGGTTTAAAGCTGACACTGCTCCACTAGTCTATGTTATTAAATGAAAACAGGAGGAAAAGAGCAACTCCACACACATGGGCTGGGAAGAAGGAGAACCATCTTACAGCTCACCGAGGCAGAAAAGGGGCAGTTTTGGCCCCTGCCACAGACTGCATGATCTCGGGTTTAGTTTATACAAAGCAAATAAGACAGTGAGCTGTCAGAGGGCTCTGTCACCTCCTAATGCTGCACTGTGAGTGTCCTAGTGCTGGCTCTGTGTCTGTAAAGGGCTGCAGAGAGCTGAGGGGGCAACACAAAAGCAGTTCTTCTCAGGTTGTACCTAAGCAACAGTTTCTGAAATTAAAACTGTAACAAATACATTTCAGATTTTCATAAAAGGAGAGTAGAGTTTCATTTTCTTATTGTTCTACAGATTAAAGTAGAGATAATTCACAAGGATGGCCAATGGCTTTCTCTGTCACTATGATAGTGGCCATGGACATTTTGATTGCACAGATGTTCTTAGCCATAAGCCCAATAAATATGACCAACACCCATCCTGCTAGTGGTCTCTAAAGGCTTATTGTCATGATAGAGGGAGAAATTATCACTGCTGCTACTGTTCATGATGTATAGAGTACATACATGAATAAATTACATCCGTTCTCTGGGCTTTAAACTCGGAACCTTACAAGAACACTGGAATTATTACAATCTGAAGTACAGAACTGGGTCTGCTTTTATTTCATAAAGGAACTGAGGGCAAGAGCAAGACAGAATGCTCGTCATTATGTGCTGCTCATTGTTATACAGTATATCCACTAATTAGTGGCAGCATTAGCGTTGCATTTTTCTAACACTTAGTGTGAACAATGTTATTTCTCAATAATTATTTCTTCCCCTTTCTCTGAGGGGAAGTATTTTAAGTTTGGCTTGTGTAGATACCTATCTCTCCAAAAATACTATATATCCATTTTAGGTAAATGGAAAAATTCAAGGACAGGGAATAACATCTGTACTGCATAAAGAGTAAGTAGCACTTGACACCATCTTATCTAATCTTTTAAAAATCAAAACAAAACCCTCATTCCTATGAACTGTTCCATGTTATCATGGAAAGTATTAGCAAGATATTTGTGGCTGTTTTTAAATAGTAGCAAGTAAAATACTTCAAAGCCACAACTTAAAGCTTACATCATCAGAAAGTTGGCCTTTCCATTTTAGAGATGTCCTACATAAATTTATACATACACAAATACCCCAATTATTTTTCCTCCAACAAGATGCTCTCCATTAAAAGAAGCCATCTGGAGATAAGAAAAGATATGAGAGACATAAGGAAATATTAAGAAGAAAGGAGGGTGTAGTTTTAACTCAAAAGAGGAATATTTCTGACTAACTCTCCTCTGCTTTCAGCTTTATGTTTAATGGCTGTATCTTTGTGAGTCTTTACAGTATGTCACCACTAAACGGTGTCTCACAAGAATTTGCATTAAGGGTATAGCCACAACTGTATTACCTGAGAACTGGCCTCTCCTGTTGCTTCTGTGTTGACTCTGGTGATGGTTTTAAAGTAGATCCCGTTCCCATTTAAAGCTTTTTCCTCTGAATTGTATTTAAACATGTTTTGGCAATTACTCTTTTCTCATGAACCCTCTGTCCATGTTCACAGTTACAAGTTTCATTTATCTCTTTCCTCCCTGTACCCAACAAGGTCTTCACAAATTCAGGTAGAAAAAGTACAAGAAAAAATATACCTGACAGTAATTATCACTTTCCATTATTTGGCCTTTGTTTAAAAACACACACAATTTTTAACCTTAATTACTCATTTGTCATCCTTCAGATTTTGTTGACTGTTGTTGATGCAAGATGCAACAAATGATTCATCTGGATCCACCAAGGAAAAGACTAATGAATCCTCCTGATTTCATCCTATCTAAAGACTCAATCAAGCCTGACTAGATGGCTTCTGAAAAGATAATGTGGTGAAGAAAGGAGTGAGCTTTGTTACTTCTTTTGGCTAAATTGTAAGCAAACCTTTTTCTCAATACAAAATAAAATATTAATCGCAAAACTGAACTACTACACCAAACCAGACCCGCCCAGCCCCTTCATGAAAGACAACAGCAAGACTTAATACCACAGACTGGCAGTGGCTGTCCCCGTAATGCGAAGTCCCCTTAATCCTTAATAGGAGCCCACTGCCCATGCTAGAGATGAAATCCAGCTTTCAACAAAGCAAACAGGATGAGTTTCTCAGCGGTCTCCAGATAGTCAGTGGAAACAGAAATGACAATGTTTTGGATAACCTCCTTAGTAGTGTTAGTGAGTGAAGTGTTTCAGCTATCTGCTAACCAGTAGCAAGTATGCAAAATGCTGACATTGGGCCAGTGCCCAGAGATGAAATGCAATTCATTCTCCATGTGGCAGATGGAAGAGAACAATTCCTCACCAGATTGCTGGCCACTGACTCAGCAGCAGAGCCCTTCCAAACATCTCCTGTAGGTTTAGCTTATACACAATGGTATTTTTGGCCACAAAATTTGTAATTACTAAAATACTTTGATTCAAGCGATATTAGCATTTTCTGCTCAGGAATGAAAAGCAGTGTTGGTAATGGGCTATCTGTCCTCTTTCCTACCAGCACTATCCCTTCTCTCAGTGTCAGAGCATAAACCATTACCAGGTGCTGAGGCTCATTTGGGATCCTGCACCTTGGCAAGAGGACTGAGGGATAGCAGGATCTGTGAAGGGAAAGGTGATCGTACACTATGTAGCAGAGAAGCATAAGAACCCAAGGGCTATGTTTCTCAGCAGACAGTAGAACAAGGTCCTTCTTGGGCAAGTGCTGTCTTGAAGGCAGGGTTAGATCAAGTAGTGTGAGGTCATGGGAGTATTAGATGATAAAACACCTCATAAGACTGAAGTAGCTTTCCTAGTATACCCTGAGATTAGCTCAGTTGGCTAGAACATGGTGCCACTAACACCAAGGTTGTGGGTTTGATCCCTGTATGGGCCATTCACTTAACATTTGGACTTGATGATCCTTGTGGGTCCCTTCCAGCTCAGAATATTCTGTGACAGTTGGCTAATATTACCTTGAGATTCTTCCCTGTAGGTCTAGAGAAAATGGGTTGTGCTTTTCTTATGCCCCATTATAAGGCAGTTGTGGGTAACAGCAGATGCTGCAATGATCAGTCAGTTATCTTGAACGGAATGGATAATCCCTTAGCATTTGCTTCAGAAAGTTCAGAGTAGAAAGGTTTTGGTGAAGTCCTTAATTAAACAAGGCACCATAGAACATACTAAACAAAGCACGTGGAACCCATCATCCTGAAAAGGACCTCTCTTTGTGTGAGGTTGAGTGTTACAGAGAATCTAGACCGAGAGGAAAGCAGCTCTACCTTCAAGTAGGCTACAGGAAGAGAAGCTGAAAAGAGGACACTTCTAGATGTACGGTATCTGACCAAAAAACATGATGCATTCCAAAAACATTGATGCACACACTTTGGATTGGCAAGCTTTATGCTGGATTGTGTATTTTTTGTCATCCCACAGACAGCAAAATAAAACTTAAAGCTGTCCGGAACTTTACCATGGGTTCTAACTAATTCCACTCAAGCATAATCCTATGTCTGCATTTGACCAAGATCAAATGTGCACTGTTGAGTGGTCTAATTGTGATCAAATGACCAGATCTCTATAAATGAGCAAAAAAACACAACGTAAATCTGCAGATAAATCTAGGCAGACTTGTGAAGAGATCACTTTGATCTGAATAGTTGGATGCAAAAAACCCACAAGGACAACGTGGCAAATGAGCAATGGGGGAAACTCAGAGCATAGTGGGGAATTGCCACACAGAGACATCAGAGGTTTCACGCATTTATTCTGTTTTGTGATGAGGGTTTTCTGGCAGCTGTGAAACCAGAGCAGGAAGAGTGGAGCACAGGCAGAGCAAACTAGAAAACTGCAGAAGCAGATCACAGAGCTCAGAACAAACGGGGATGTTCCCAATGTGCAGTGACAAACACACAGTTCGAGCCCTTGAGATCATCAGCTAGGTCTTGACTGTAGCCGAAGCAGCTGGAAGCCTCCTGTTTTTCCTCCCTGCAGGGCAGTACTTTTTGGTCTTCTCAGTGTCACCAAGCTGAGGGATAACTTAGCTGAGCTCTCCAGACTGCTGAGGTGGCTCTGGGGAGAGAGCAGCAGACGCTGGGATGACACACATCTGCACACACCCCCTGACACAACTGGATAAACTATAAAATATTAATGATGCAAGACTGCTTATTTTAAAAATCCTCTGACACTGGAATGCGAAAGATGTGAGAATCAAAAGGCCATTAATGTCCCCTCTCAGTAGATACCTGGTCCTGGAAGGACTTTGCACTGTTTTCCCCCAGCCTCCCATTGCTTCCTTGTGGCAAGCACTGACAGGTTTCAGGAGAAAAAAAAAAACTCTTAAAGTTTAAGAAGCATTTTCAAAATGCAATTAATTAAAGGTTATACTTAAAGCTTGATCTTGAAGCTTATATGATTAACTCAAGTTAGATGGGAAGAAAGACACTTCATTTAAATACAGATCTCCTTTCCTTTGTGAAGAAGCACTACCTCACAATGGGTAAAAAATTAAATACACTTCTACTTTCAATGATAGATAAGTTATGTAGTAAAAAAAGTATAGAAAGTATTGAGGAAAACCAGAGTATGAGCAGAACATGACACTCACATTTGACTGGTTAAAATCAAAACATAATTATAAATTTATCAATTCCCCATGTGCTATGGGAGACATGTATACTATGATTACCTATTTCCATTAAACAGGACTTCACATTAGTTAAGATGTCCATATTCACTTTAGCCTTTTAGAACACTCTAGTAATGAGTAATATAAAATAAGCAATCAAGTATGCTTAATTTTACAGAGTTATATCCTAGCTCTTTGTTTACATATTTAACTATAAATACAAAAATAGTCCCACTGCCCTAAGCATATTATTTTGTGTACTTCCGTTGCAACAGTAGGAGACTAGGAAAGTATACTGAGTTCCACAGTATGGAGAACCATGAAAAGTAGCCAGTCTTCTGAGTTCTCCACAATTTACTTAATAAATCGATTTCTAACAGCATTGATTTCTCATAATTTAATTCAGCCACAATCTCCATAGACAGTATGCAGATTCTAATGGACTTTTACTGTGGTTCACATACTCTAAAGGAACATCCATTTTAGTAAACTGAAAAAACCTCAATAGTTGAAATAAAACTATGTTAACCATTCTACCCTCAACCCAAAATATTCTTGGTTTTGCTGGAAAGACCTTAAAAATAAAAACTATCCATTCAGGTTTATCTCTCAGTAAGTGTAGGGTCCAGAACTTACCTACAGTCAATGGAACTACATTGCAATTCACATATGAAAAGCATCTGTGCGTAAAAGATATTCATTTGAGAAGGATCCAATCCTGCCCCCACTAAAATCACAGCCAAGTTGGTACTATATCCTTATCCATTTTAAAGACAGATAACAAAAAGAGGAAACAAATACCGTACTGTCCTGTTCTTTTCCAGAATCAAGCTGAAGATATTTTAATTTCTGTAACATTGTATCATAAGACTCCCTGCTCTGGTGCTCTTGGACAAAACCCCAGCGGGAAAACTGCAGCAGCCTGCTGAGAACTGCAGCAGCCCCTCGCAGTCAATTAAGAAGTGCACTCTGCTGCCCACCCAGCCCTTGACCACCCTTCTCATCACCAGCCTTCCATTTGATTACAAGCTGCAGCACAGTCCTTCCCTAGATATTTCCTATGTAATGTGAAATTGAGAATACCACTGGAACCTACTAATATAATAATCTGCATGTACAGTAATTTTGTATGATGCATATAAATCTGCCTTTTTATTAAATTATCTGGGATTTTTATCTGTGTTGTTCTGCTGGTTACATTCCTTCTCAGCTCTCTTGAAAGTGGAAAGCTTTATCAGCAATGTTCCCTTGCACACACTTTTAATTTACTGTTTCGTATGTCTACCCTTCCATTTCTTCTCAGGGCTTATTAACCCATTGAGCATATGTTTGCCAATGATGAGGGCTCTTTTGCTTTTGTGATTTTCTATATTTTTGGCTAAGTCATATAGTGTTTCAATAACAACAAAAGCCACAAAATGGCAATAAACCATCTTTAAAATCAAGATTCAAACACTAACAATCTGAAAAAAGCACTTCCCCACGATTCACTTGGCTTTCCATTCAGAAGTTTGCAGCTCCAGGTTTCATTACAAACAACATTCCACATTTAGTTGTTTTAAGCCAATTCAAAAACACACTAAAAAATGTTTGTAAAATATAACACACAATATGAGGCTTTTAAAATACAGATGCAGGATTTCTCCTCATGGCTCTTTTGTGGTTTTGATAAAACTGCATTGCTTCAAAGGGCTCAGGATATACTACTGTAAGTCACCAGTACATATTTCAGCCACATGTGCTGACTCTGCTTCCGCTCCTCTGCCAGAACAATGGAAGCCCTTACATGCTGAGTCAGCTATCCACAAACACAGATCCACGCAGACCAAATGCAGTCCCTCAGCACAGGTTTTGTTAACCACATCTTATCACAAAGAATGCTAGGTAGCTGCATTGTTTCATGTAAAACTCATGGACTAGGTAAAATTTGGAAATGCATGCATATTTTCAGGAACAAACCCCAAAATATTGTTTGACATGAGGTAAGCTACTAAAATACATAAATAAATACAAAATAAAGTTACAACAAAATAATCATGGGTTCAGTTCTGCCATTTCCTCCCTCCTGGGTATTCTTAGTACCAAGAGGGAATGCTGGCATTCCAGGAGAAACCTGCACACAGCTGGACAGACAGGCTGGACATGTGAACTCTTACTGAACCAATCTGGTAAGTTCAGATACCACTGCAACTTGTGAGTCTGAGCTCACATATTTAAATAAGTTCACAAGCACAAAGACCCAAAGAACAAGTGAACCTCAGAAGTCAGCTGAGCAGGGCTTTTAGAATCATAGTCACCTAATTGAAAAAGACCCCTAAGATCATCAAGTCCAACCACTAACCCAGCACTGCCATGTTCACCACTAAACCATGTCCCCAGGTGTCATATGCACATATTTTTTGAATGCTTCCAGGAATGCTGATTCCATCAGTTTCCTAAACAGCCTCTTCCAATGCCTGACAACCCTTTCAGTGAAGAATTTTTTCCCAATATCCAATCTAAACCTCCCCTGATGCAACTGAGGCCATTTCCTCTCATCCTGTCACTTGTTACCTTAGAGAAGAGACCAACCTCCACCTTGCTACAACCTCACAGTTGTAGAAAGTGACAAGGTCTCCTCTGAACCTCCTTTCTTCCAGGTTGAACAACCCCAGCTCCCTCAGCCTCTCCTCACAGGACTTGTGCTCCAGTCCCTTCACCAGCCTCGTTGCTCTTCTCTGGACCTGCTCCAGCACCTCAATATCCTTCCTGAACTGAGGGGCCCAGAACTGACACAGTACTCCAGGTGTGGCCTTACCAGCGCTGAGTACAGGGGAAGAATCACTTCCCTGGTTCTGCTGGCAACACTTCCTGATCCAGGCCAGGACGCCATTGCCCTTCTTGGCCACCTGGGCACACTGCTGGCTCATGTTCAGCTTCCTGTCAATCCAACCCCCAGGTCCCTTTCCTCCTGGCTGCTCTCCAGCCACTCTGTCCCCAGCCTGTAGCTCTGCGTGGGGTTGTTGTGGCCAAAGTGCAGGACCTGGCACTTGGCCCTGTTGAACCTCTTCCCGCTGGAATCAGCCCAACTCTCCAGTCTGTCCAGGTCCCTCTGAAGAGCCCTCCTGCCTTCCAGCAGATCAACACTGCCCCCCAACTTGGTGTCATCTGCAAATTTGCTAATGGTAGACTCTATCCCCTCATCCAGACCATTGATAAAGATATTAAACAGGATTTTTAATCCAGAACGTATTAAATTCTCAAATGTACAACTGGTTTCAATTATAATTAATGAGTAGAATGTAGGCCAGCTATAATTAATTTTCCCATTTTTTTCCCTAACATGCAAAAAGTTGTAATAGACAGCCAAACAACAAGAGCTTAAAAAATAAGAATCACTATTACATTCTCTCATTGTAGATTCACAATGTCATTCCCATACATGTGCTTTGATTTCACTCACAACTCCAGTTAAGAGTCTAATTCAGCTATGTCTCAAGCTGGCATCAAGACTTCCAGAACAGGCTGACATGCCTGTGCAAGTGTATGCATCTAAAAGTCAGGTTACTGAGGGTTATCTGGCTAAGGAAAATTTGTCATATATGTAGTTTTTATATGGCTTGTTGGAAGTGCATAGTCTCAACTTGTGTGAAGGGATTTATCCCAAGACCTTGACAGCCTGTGTTCTGTAACTTGATAAGAAATGTAACAGAAATCTGTGTTTTGTTTGTTTGAGATTCCTGAGAACCTTTCTGACTTTTCCAATCCTAGCTGGCACATGGATAGTCTATTAAATACAAAAACTGACACAGAAGATAAAAAAAGACAACTTCATTTTAAAGAAAAACTTGAAGCGTGCCTTCTGTAGTACACAAACTCCCTGCAGAATACCCACTGAAGATGTTCTCCCGCTAAAGAGGAAGCCTGCATACATGCAATGCATGCACTCTGAGCTTTGTTGTCTCCTGGATGTATCTAGTTCAGTATGGAGTTAGTAACATACATGTAAACAATATCCGTAAGCCCCACAAGTTTCTAAAGAGAAACTTTTGTCCTTATTCACATACAAGCATATAGCAAGCTCACAACATGACTGAGAGCTAACGTTTTCACATCTGTCAGATACTCTACTCAGGGGAACTGAAACATCCCAGAACATGGGCTGATGGCAAACATCCCAGTTGAGCACGTCTTGTTTTGTGAATTTTAATACCTAAGAATAAACTCCAGAAACACTTCTACAGACTTTACTTACTGATGCTTCTTGTACTGCATAGTAAAATACCAACTTGTTCCAACACTTTTACAGGCATTTATTACAGAAATATTGGAAAAAAATCCAAATCCCCCCCAAAACCCCAAAACCACTAGGAGAACCCAAACAGAACTTCAATAGGACAATTTGGAAAAAAAAGTAAAATAGCAGTGACAGTACTGAAATTCTTATGGAAAGCCCACTGGGATCTTTTAATTGATTTCAACAAGTTTTAGATTAGCCCTTCAGTATCTTCATGATAGGGAGAGGAATTCTCCTATCATGAGGTAAAGCTGTGGAGACTGTTTGCAGTACCTTACATTTGCTCTGGACAGCCACTAAGTGGCACTTAAACACCTCATCTTAAACCCTTGTGAATCTGCGAATGTGTGAAGGGAAGGGGGGAACAAAAGGAGTTAGGTAGTCTGGGGACTAATCCCTTTTAAGAATAATGAAATTTGCCTCCTGCAATTAGAAAAACTTCCTAAGGGTCTGACTAAGTATGAAAATGTTATTGGAAGGAATGTTACTGTGCAGTGCTCCACAGAAGCAGAAATACTGCAGAAAGCTCTGCAGAGGAAACTGCTTCCTCTCCTAAATCGGAAGTCCTGCTTTGGGAATCAGAGTGCCTCATTCCAGTGTATCACTGCCCATTATCGTGTCATTTTGAAATATGCACTCGTATCAGGAAAATTACAGTATTTCATTGCTGCTCAACTGCAGGTCAAACTGAGGTGGCCCTAACATCATAACACAAGTAGAAATATTGCCTGAACTCAGCTTCAGTTAGAGAACTCTGCAGGGACCAGAGCTAATTGTACTTGGAGATGCACATTAGGACATGGTTTTCATAGTTCACAGAGAATCAAAAGTCATGAGTGGCACTTTGTTCTTCTTCAGACTTTAGTACACTATTGCTTCCCAGACATGTCATACTTCTATTTGCATTTTTAATCAAGGAAAGAAACCCAATTTTCCTAACAATAGAGTTGAATCAACTATGTTAATAATCTTGATGTTAATGTATTCTAATTTTGTTTGTTGTCTAGTTTTAAAAGTGGTTCTGTTTCATTAAAAATCTTTCTAAATGAATTCATTACAAATACTGGAAATTATTTTTCCCTATATGAACAACATAAGTGTCATTGAAAAAAATCTGAGAATAAAAACAAGCAGAATAATGTATTAGATATTTTAGGTGCTAACCAAAAAGTATCTACAAGCATGGGAAGAATACAGAGATTCTTCTTGCCACTTTCTTTGTCTCTGTCTTCAACACAGATGACAGACCAAGGGGGTCTCAGTGCCCTGGGCTGGAGGACCATGACTGTGAGAATGATCAACTCCCAGTCAACCCTGAAATTGGGTGAGATCTGCTGCTCCAGCTGGATCCCTGCAATCCATTGGGCCTAATGGGATTCATTCCAGATTCCTCAAAATGCTGGCTGATGCCAATGCAAAACCTCTCTCGATGATTTTTGAGCAGTCTTGGGAACCTGGAGAGCTTCCAGCTGACTGGAAGCTGGCGAATGTTGTCCTGATTTTCCAGAAGGGCAAGAAGGACCCTGGAAACTACAGGCCTGTCAGTCTCACTTCAGTGCCTGGTAAAGTTATGGAGAAGATTATTCTGGGAAGTACTGAAAAACACTTGAAGGACAACACAGTCATTGGTCACAGCCAGCACAGCTTCATGACGGGAAAGTCCTGTTTATCCAACCTGATTTCTTTTTATGACAAGGTAACCCACTTAGTTGATCAAGGGGATCCTTGTGGGTCTTTTTCAATTCAGCATATTCTATAATTTAAAGGGCATATACATTTTCAGCTTCAAAGACTCATAAATAAGATTTGTTGAGAGCTTTCTAGACTCTCAAAGAAACACCTCCATTTCAGTTAGCCACAGATTTAGATGTAAAATATACTAGCAGATATTAGCTGCAAGCTCTATTTTACACCTTTGTGTTGAATGTTGCCTCCAGAAATATCAAATTAAGAGTTATAAAATTCAACTTTTATTCTCTCTTTCTGTGCAAGTTCTTTATGTTATAATTAGTAGCACAGCATATAACCAACAAAGCAACTCAACAAGCCACAATACATCAGGATTACAAAGAACGCAATTTTTTAAGCACATTTTGCATGTGTGAAGTTAGTGTTGTGAGGTTCTTTTAAAGGTTGAAACAAGAAGCTTGCAAATGAAAAGCATTCAATCAGTTATGCAGAAGGATCAAACTTTACCCAATGCACGAGGAATTACCAGCAGTGAGGCTGTTTTTATGACCAGCAATATATCTCAATTACTGTCACTCTGGGAAAAGTGGGGGGAGGGTGGGAAAGAAAGGAGAAGTCCACATCAACTAGCAATTTCATAGCAAAGGACAAACCAAGTATAAACTGGCATTATCCACTCAATCCTTGTATCAGATCCTTGATGATCAACCTTTAGGGCAGACACACATATCCATTTAAGCCTGTATTTGTCCAGTCACACAAATCATTCCTTAGGAAAATATTTCCCACAGCCCTTCCCATAACTTGATGTCCACAGAGAGGGTAAAAAAAACAGAAATACAGAACAACTGTGCCTACACCGGGCAAGGGAAAGCACTGATTTTACGACAATGATTTTCTACCATTATTCACTTTGACATATAACAGGATAGGAGATTGTACTGCTAAAGCAAATACAGTGGTTATATGTGCCTCTTCTGCTTTAGTTTTCTGCTCCACTACAGTCAAAGAGCCCCCATCTGATGACCTTGGGGGCACAGTATAAATGTCAGCCCAGGGAAGGCAAAGCTCTAACTGAAAAGCTGCCTGCATGGAAAAATAAGGAGCTATTTCAGGAAGGTGATTTTTTCAGTATCATAATTTTTGAATTGGCATCTTCATTTTTTAACGTGGATGGCTTGCATTTGTCCTTTAGGGCCATTTTAGAACCTGAAAAGAAGAAAATACAACTGCTTGAACAAGAATGTTCATGTTTAAGTAGTTCCGAGTGAGCACAAGCTTTCAAAATAAACTTGTGAAGCACAGAAAATAGAAAGGTTTTGGTTCTATGAGTCTTGAGGAAAGATGGCTGATGTAGGACCCAGTCCTACAATCTGATTTGTGCCAGAACTGCTCTTGAGTCTGTCGGCAGAGATTGTACTAACCTACATGATACAGCCTTTGTTTATTACTGTATTTGACAAAAGCTATCTTCCCACATTTCACTAACTTAATTACACTGTCCTCAACATGCTATTGTACTGTGAGCCACAGAAACTAGCACTTTATTAGGTAAGACTGATTTTTTAATAAAAACTGTTCTTTTTCAAAGCAGGGTTTTGGATTTGGTTTTTTTTGTTCCTGTCTAATATATGCTTTCAGGCTTTAAATTGCATACAACTATCACTGCACCATGTATCCACAAAATTAATTTAAAAATATCACAACTGTGCATACTTCATATTACTTAGGAGCATTAATTAATTAAACAAAAATAAAACCATGTATTGAATCTAGATTAGACTTTCTAACTTGTCTTTGGAGATTGGTGAGGCACATTCAAATTTCCAAATGTCCTCTAGTCTTGAATTAACTTCAGCAAGCCACAGCAGTGGGTAACTCCAGCAAATACATTGGAATTCCTTTATCGTTAATTATTTTTATAGTACTGTGCATTCAGCTTATATTTAATGTTGCTATATTAAAATAGTACTTTCTGAACTCTTAATTCTGTATATGCAACTGGGTTTCTGCACTCATCCTGTTTCTCACTTGGAACTTTTCCACGGGCACAATTCTTTTGTTTTGGTTTGGGTTTTTGTTTTATTTGCCCGGGACTTTCTGCTGGTTGTGCCTTTGTTTGAAGCTGCAGGACTGACTAGGCTGGAAGGCGATGAGGGGACCCAGCGTGTTTGCAGAGCTCAGACTTTACTACACTACAGTAAGGTGAGCTGAATAACTTTGCTGTTACCTATTCTGTATTTGTAACAACTTGTGAAGCTGAGGAATATAATATTAGTGCTTGGGTAATGCATGGATAGACATAGTCTCTCAATTGAAGGCCCACATTCTACTTTGAGAATTGTGTCGATTCACCAAATTCTCAAATTTTCACATTCATCTTTCACATTAAGTTACCTTTGAGTTTTTCAATCAAATTTGAAGAATACAGCACCACCAAACTCTGTAGCAGAGTTTAAGAAGTTGGTCACAGAAGGTTACCTTATTTTTTGGTGAGGGTATTGCTCAGCAGAGCAGAGAGAAATTATTCCAGCTGCAAAAATGAAATAAATAAAGCACGGGATGAGTACCAGAAAGTTAGTGCCATAGTGAGGCTGAAGCTGCAAAAATTGAGAAATTGTCACATGACAGTATTTCACAACACATTCAACCCCTCAGGGACAGGCTCACTAGTAATTTTAAGATAAATAGGTGCAAATAATGGAAATGCACTAAAAGCCTTCCATTCCCATGATCATAACAGCAGCAGACACAAGACTGTAAGAAGATACTTACTAGCACACAGATTGTTTCCTTTATATTTATGTCTTTTTAGAGTAAGGCTACTCCACCTTTTATTTCTTCTCACACAATGCTAGCAAAACAAACTTCAAAGTTGGTGACATATTGCCTAGGTGGCTCTGTGTACAGAAGTCAAGGAAGCCTGAAAGCCTCCCAGTGCACCTCTATCCTCATAGTTCTACTTTTAAGATCTACGTCATTATATAAAGAAAGAACATCAGGTTTCCTGCTGCACAGCCCAATCCCTTTGGAGTATTCCTGGTGCACTCTACTTCCACTACCTATGAAAGCACCAGGAAAAATTTGCCCTGAATTACTTTACATTCACTTTAGTTTCCAAATTCATGTCAGCTTGAAATTTGACAAAACATTTAAAACATTTAAAAATTTAAGGTGATCTATCAAGGTGCATCAAGTTGGTTTTGGAGCAGAATGAAATTAATTTTTTTTTACCTTAGGCCCTAAAGCAGTTCAACACAGAGCTACACAAACATCAATGCCAGCACAAGGGAAAACACCAGGAATGTACACCAAGGGATGGATCACAAGAGAAAAGAATAACAAAACAGTCTCTTTTGATAGAGGACAGCTACTAGATCTCCTCAGTGTACCATCAGATATTACACTTGAACTAAAACCCCACTGCAGTTTAAGACTGAATGAATCAGGGACTCAAAGCCCAACTTTCCCTCTGTTCTAGATGGCATGGCCTTGCTTCCCCCTCCCTCTCACAAAGGTGCACATGAAACTGAGATTGTGTTAGGATGCTGATTTCATTGAAATTTTATCACTTTTCTGATAAATTCCTTTGGAATATTTAAAGTGCTCTGAAATACCTCACTGAATGATACCACAGTGTAAAGGATAGGGGAAAAGGTGGGAATGTGCAAATCAGCAACCAGAGAGTACACGGCCACCAAAAGCTGACTCAGACTAGGTTAAGATGTTAAGAGTGAGCTTCTCTTTGGAGATATGTAAAGAAGCTCTTCTCTATGTGATCAGTAGGTTTTTGAAGAAAACTCTACTATAATTTTGGAAGATACTTAGATATTTGTGTCTCCAATTATCTGTGCTGGACATCATAGACCACAAGCATTAGACCTTGTAAGAAAATAGGAATGGTTAGTAGCCAGATGAGAAGCCAACACAAATCCACTAATTATGTTTTAGCCTAAGTTCCACTGTTTTGTATTTCTCTTACAGTCCCCAGCAGAAAAAGAAAAGGAACAATAAATAACCTTGCCATGAACTCTAACCCTAAAGTAAAGTGCATGTGACATCACAAGTAACACACAGGTGCTTTCAGTATTATGTAAGTTGAAAATGAACAATGTCACCTGATACAGATTATTATACTGCCGAAATCACAGTAAGAAGAGAAATCACAAGAAAATACAATTTTTATGTTGCTGCTGTAAGAGTGGGAATAGGTAACTTTTTTTACAAACCCTATGATTAATTTTATCTTCCTTGATCAGACATTATCTATGACTTTAAGTCAGGAAACAGCACTGGTATTACATGTGGCAATCGCACATGCAGTTGAGAGAAATCACACAATATTTCTTAAAAAAGGAGGGTGAACACAGGAGCACTTAGGTGATGCAGAATGTCACAGAGTCACTCCAGGGTCTGGCAAGAGCCCCATAAAGGCTTGGAATAATGCTACTAGGGACAGGGTCACTACAGTTCCCTGAGAAAAGATCTTGCATACATAAATCCTTTGAAGAGATCCCAGGATAGAGCTGGTGTCATCACACTTATGCTGAAGGCTCAAGATGCCCATAAAGCTTGATTAATTGTGAGAGTATCCAAAGCACAGCTGGTTGTTTGCATTATACAGGACAGTCTATTAATATTTACACCACTAAACTTTGACCTACTTTATAAACAGGACTGTGTATGTGCACAAATATGTATTTGGTTTTTCATTTGTTCCGTTGGATTTTTTTTCCTTCCTTTTTTACATTAATTTCTTCAGTTAGCATTTGAGAGACAGGAGGGTCCTAAAACAAAAAGCAGTGTTAGTAGTTTACAATTACATAGATTCAATCAAAAAAACCAAAGGTGCACAAGAACAGCAGGCAGAAAATGCCAAATTAAGCTCTCACTTGCACTGACATTAGTCCAGTTACTTCATTTTGTATCAGTGTTTTATGCTTTTGCAAAAGAAGAACCATGTTTCAATCTCCCTAGACTCATCGAGCAGTAAAATACAGTAGAAAAAGGTCACCTCTATCTCTAAAATTATCTTCTTTGAATTCTTTTAAGAAAGGGAAATGGTGGTATTAAAAAGGAGATACTTAGTGAGGCTTATCTTAGAGTCTAATGTAAAAACTAGTTGTGTAAGAATCGTCAGTCATGAAGCTAAGCCTCACAACAACTGCTTTGGAGTTCACTGGGCCTCTGCCATTCCTTTTATAGATGAATAATGTGAAGTTCACTCACAAGATCAGCTCTGTGCAGCCTCACAGAGAGCTAAGTGTTGATTATCTGAAACCAGCTTCTTCAGCACATAATCAGATCATAAACAACATGTAACGGAGTGCTGCATTCCAGGTAATACAGCATGATCTACTTAAGTGCATAAGCTATTTTAACTCATGAAAGTAGGTGAAGGTTGTTTAAAAGCATAGTAACTGTTAAAGCAACTGGTGGGCAAAAAGCCCCTGAAGACCTCTGTCAAAAAAACCCATCACTGTTGTAACCAAACAGCTCAACAACAGGGCAAGTGCTACATTTCAGTAAGTACCTCAGTGTAAAGAGATGGGGCTTATCTGTGTCTGCTATGGGGCAGATTTGGCACAAGCAAAGTCAATCAGCAGGCTCAGGTCTCAAGCAGGTGTCCCAGTCTGCTGCAACCATACTGCACTGCTGTTCTCATGCTAACATTCCTGTAGCTGCCTGGGCCAAAAGCTGTCCCTGATGGATGACTATACAGAGAAGATTCAGAAGCACCACACAGACTTGTGCACGTCTTGTGCGGCTGTGATCCTTTTTTAAATCACAGGCAATATTTCTCTGAGCAGAAAAGAACAGTTCTACCCAGTGTTTGCCATTATAGCATTAACTGCTCTGGTAAACCCAAGTATATATTACAGGCTGTTATGACAACTTGTGTCCAGATTCTTGGGGGTAACAAAAAACAAAACCCACACAAACAAAAACACCCCAATGAAATGTAACCCTTTAAAAATTGGAGCTGAACTTTTTACATTTCTTCATACTCTAGTTCTGCATTGTTAATTGATAATGTCACAGAAATATTTTTCCTTACAAGATATCAGCTCAAGTTTCTAGGCTTTCCCTCAAATCCCCTGAACCTCCAGTTCATATCACAGAATAAAAAAGGGGAAACTTTCAAGCATTCTGAGAAAAAAAGGTGAAGTGCTGTCTGCTGACTTCTACTATGCATAGGAGTTTATTTTACCCCGTGACCATGAAGAACAGGTGGATGAAGCACTCTACAGACAGCTCAAAACAGCCTCCCATTAGCAGACCTTGATCCTGATGAGGGAATTCAACCACTGAAATATCTGCTGGAGGAAAAACACAGCAGGGCATAGTCAATCCAGCAAGTTCTCAGGGAGCCTCAATAACAACTTGCCAGCCCAAATGACAGAGGAGGTGATCAATGAGTTGCTCTGCTGGGCCTCATACCTATCAACATGGAAGAGCTTGTTGGGGTCAGGCACAGCCTTGGCTGCAGTGACCATGAGATGGTAGAGTTCAGGATCCTGAGAAGCAGGGCAAAAAGCAAGATCGCAACCCTGGACTTCAGAAGATCATATTTTGGCCTCTTCAGGGATCAGCTTGAAACAGCACCATCAAATAAGGCCCTGGAGGGAAGAGGATCCAAGAAAATTGGTTGTTATTCAAAGATCACCTCGTTCAAGCTCAAGAGCAGTCCATCCAAATGACCAAGAAAAAAATGCCCACATGGATGAACAAGCAGCTCTTAGCAAAACTCAGACATAAAAGGGGAGAATGCAGAAGGTGTAAGAAGAGACAGGTAACCTGAAATGAAGACACTGTCTGAGCACACAAAGACATGGTTAGGAAAGCCAAAGTCCACCTGGAATTGAATCTAGCAAGGAATGTCAAAGGCAACAAAGAACGTTTTTATATCTACGTAGGTGACAAAACACAGACTAGGGATAATGTGGGCCTGCTGCTGAATGGAGCACAGGACATGGAAAAGGCTGAGGTACTGAATGTCCTCTTTGTCTCAGACTTATGTAAAACCATTAAATTTAGGACTGTTATTCTTTATTTACAATAAATATAGATGTATAATAAAGGACAGTACAACCTTAACTTGCCTTAAATCTAAACTAGCTCAGGGCATTAATCAGATAAACTAGTGACCAGTGTTCTGTTTACGAGCCAAAACATACATCAAGTAAAATAAAACATACCTAAGTAAAACAAATCATTCCATACACCAAAGAAAGATTAACATAATGACGTCTGGAATTACTTTGCCAAACTGAAAATAAGAACAGAAATTACTCTTCCTCTGTAATGTTTTGGCTACTTTTCATCTGCTGGAAGGGGATACCGTGTGACAGTATGCCATTAGCTTCTCGTTATTTCTCTCCTTCATTCCTTGTAGTGAACGATGTGCTAAAGCAAGGCATCCTACAGAAGCAAAGCAATGCTGTGTTTGGGGAGAATGAGCTCAGGAAGGAAATGGCACTCACCTACAGTT